AACACTGTAGACTATCTTGCTTCTGATCTAAGTCTTATGAGGAAAGGCTGACAGAGTTGGGTATGTTTAGCCTGGGAAAGAGAAGGCTTAGAGGGGACATGATTGTAGTCTTCAAGTTTTGGAAGGGCTGCCATGTAGAAGATGGAGTAGATCTATTCTCTCCTGCTCAGGATTGCAAGACTAGGTCTAATGGGTGGAAATTCCTTGTAGTCGATACCGGCTAAATATAAGGAGAAACTTCCTAACTTTAAGGGTGGTTGAGCAGAGGAACAGTCTGCCTCAGGAGGTGGTGGATGCTCCTTCGCTGGACGTTTTCAAGCGGAGGCTGGACGACCATCTTTCGGGTATGTTGTCGGGCTATCTTTCGGCTCTGCTCCTGCAGAATGCAGGGGGTTGGACTAGATGACCTGCAAGGTCCCTTCCAACTCTAACATTCTTTGATGAGAGACGCAGCCGTCGTCACTGATGAGAGATGCGGCAGGCTGGTTTGCTTTCCGAAAAGAGATAACACAAGCATACGACCGACATGCCTCCCAGGCAAAAAATGGCCTGTTTCAAGAGAGTCTTCTTCAGGCAAGATGATTTTTTCCTGGAACCAAAGCTCACAATGCTACAATGCGCAAGTCAAGGATTCTACAGAGGGCTTCTCCAGTTCTTCACGTCTCTGTAGCGGTGGACTTTTCTACTAGCTCTATAATGTTCTTTAGGCTTTTGTACTGTAATGGATATTTATTATTTTATTTATTTATTTAATTCGATTCCTATCCCGTCTTGCCTGACAAGCAGGCTCAAGGCAGCACACGATAATAATTTACAATAAAAACAGATCAAACACTAACCATAAAATATAAAGTATCCCAAAGAAAGTGCCAGTAATAGATGTTCAGTAAGAGACTAGGGTCTCTCTATTCTATTCAAGTATATTACTTACGTCAATATATGAAGATATAGTAACGTAATAGTATTGTGTGTTTTGTTCTAACATGGTGTTTTTCTTTTTTTAAGTACCTGTTAGGTATACTTTTATTATTTTCATATTATACACAACAAACATACATACAACACATCACAAACAACCACTTACAAACAAAAAACCATACAATGAGATCAGTATATTTTCTTTCTTTTTTTTTTTATTTAAAAGCTTTATCTCCTCTCCTAAAAAGGAGAGATATTTCGCTTAGTTGGAAAGGGGGAGGGTATATAGTGGGATCAAGAGAAAGATGAGTGATGTTTTAACTGGTAAAGTTAATCTGTTAGTAATATTAAAATTTTCTTCTTTGGCTTCTTCTGTGTGTTGTCAAACTTCTTTTTTCAAACCGGTTAAATGCATTGTCTATATTAGTATATTAGTAGTGTCCCAATGGTGCTCCGCTAGCAAAGTCTTTTCCAACGATTTTTAAAACGATCATCTACGGGCTGACTTCTTTTAATCTCCGAATTCAGGGAGGAACTTCCTCTGTTTACTCCTCTCCGATTTTTCGGCTCCTCCTCCGGGTTGCTGCTTCCGCTGTCTGTTTGCAAACTGCAAATGCCATAATCCTTGCTCTCTCGTGCCTCTTCAAAAGGTCTCTGGCTTTGAGAATGGTTTTCTCCTTTTTCCATCTCTCGCTTATATGTTTAAACGCTGCCATTCTCTTAGCTGGACCTTCTCTCCGCAACTGTTGACTTATAAAAGCGCTTTTCAGGGCACCTTCTCGCTTGTCACAGCTCAATTCTTTTCTCACAGTCCCAGTCAAGGTCACAGTCACACGCAATCTGTTTATTTAACAGCCGGCACAACAAAAGATGAAACGCCTACATCTTGCTTTTTTGTTTACTTTTATTTAAGTTCAAATAACGCTTTTTAAAGACAAAAATCTTCTAGCCTCTTCTCACCACGCACCAAAAAGGGACCACTTCTCTTTTCAGATTCTGTTCCCCCCCCTTTTTCTTCGCTCAAAATCTCTGCTTGCGGGAGAGGGGGTTTCCCCTCCTCCTCCCTTAAATCTTTTCGCTGGGGGGAGGGGGAGCGCGCTTAAGTCTTTTTCTCGATGTCAGACAACTCACCGTTTCAGCCGCTTCTTTTCTTTTTCTCGGTTCGTTCGCTTCATCACTCGGTGACCACAGGCGGCTCCGCTAAACCCCATACGGGGTCACTTGCGCGGCAAGGTCCATTGGGGCATGGCAGGGAGGCTCAATTTCCGACCTTTCGGCCGAGAAAGAGACTCCCGCCTTCGAGCCCCGGGTCGGAGCCCCCTTTTCTGGGGCTTGTCTGGGTCTCCGCTTGCGCGGATTCCCCCCTTGACCGCGGGCGGGCGAGACGCCCTCGGGAGCGACCCGAGGATGCGTCCGCCATTCGCGGGAGCCAGACCGGAAGTCAGTATATTTTCTTATAACTCTTATTACCATATTAAAAAAAAGAAAAAGAAAAATTTCCTTGGGATTGCTTAAGTTTCTGTGTACTCCTATCTTTTTACCATAGTTTCTATTTAACTAAAAGAGATTAATCCTAGCAAAAATTTCATTACTTTAAACTATGCATTTATATTGTACCAGTCATTCGGTTTCCCCCACGTGTTTTGAAATGTTGGGTCTGTTGTCCCTCTCATCAATGATGACAAGTTTATCATTTTCCGCCCTCTCCAACAGTTTATTCACATACTCTTGCTTCTTTGGTGCTTCCATTTGTTTCCAATAGTTTGCATATAGTATTCTTGCTGCCGTAGATAGATGTACTATCAAATAACATGGTGTTTTTCTGCGTTTGCTCAACCTTGCCGTGTTTCCCGTGTGCTTTGTTGCTTAGCCTCCAGGGGGGCCTGGGGCTCTCCTGCTTTTACAACTGATCCCCACCTGACAGAGATCAGGTCCCCTGGAGAAAAATGGCTGCTCTGGAAGGTGGACTCTATGGCGCTGTGCCATGCCGAGGCCCCTCCCCTCCCCTCCCCAAACCCCTCCCTCTCCCAGCGCCCCCCCCAAAGTCCCCAGGCATTTCCCAACCCAGATCTGCCAACCCTACTTTGGGGTCAGGAAGCAATTTTTCTCCAGGCCAGTTTGGCTGGAGATCCTGGAGGGGTTTTTTTTTGGTCACCTTCTGAGCTTGGAACAGGGGGTTACTGGGAGTGTATGCGTGGGGGGGAGGTATTTGTGAATTCCTGCATTGTGCAGGGGGTTGGACTAGATCAGGGTGGGCAAACTTGCTTACCAGAACAGCCACACCGAATAAACGGCAGATGTTTGAGAGCCTCAAGACATGAACAAATACCACACACACACTTTCTTTTAATTGGAAAATATGCAAATTTGTTTTTTATTAACATTGAACCTAGCAGTTTGAAAGCAAGAAATTGCAAGTAGATAAATAGGTACCACTTTGGTGGGAAGGGAACAGCGTTCCGTGCGCCTTGGTGTTTAGTCATGCCGGCCACATGACCACGGAAACGTCTTCGGACAGCGCTGGCTCTTTGGCTTGGAAACGGAGATGAGCACCGCAACCCTAGAGTCAGACTCTACTGGCTTTTGAGCAAGGGAACCTTTACCTTTTAACATTAAATTAGACCATGTGGAAGAGCCACATGCGGCCCCTGAGCTGCAGTTTGGCCACCCCTGGACTAGGTGACCCTGAAAGTCCCTTCCAACTCTAAGATTCTGTGATTCTATATGTTTGAAAAAGAAAATATCTTTACTAGAGCTAACGTGGGAAAAGGTAAACGGGATGCAAAACAGCAGACACTAGATCCTACATCTTTACCGCTAGAAGAGTACTAGGAGAAGAATGGCATCTCTTCTTCACCGAGAGCAAAGGGAGGAAGAGACCCCAACATGCTAAATAGCCAATACATTAATTTCCAATCGCAGAGCTCAAGTTCGGGTCATTTCACTAGGACCTCCTACAAGATTCACGGGCTTTTCTCACTTAGTAGCAGATTGGATGCAATAAACGCACTTGACTTCCTGTGACTTTCCCTATGAAGAGAGGTATAAAGCGCTTGGGGCTCTTTAGCTTGGAGAAACGACAGCCGAGGGGTGACATGATCGAGGTTTGTAAGATTTTGCCTGGGATAGTGCAGGTAGAGAAAGAGGTACTTTTCTCCCTTTCTCACAATACAAGAACTCGTGGGCACTAAGTGAAATTGCTGAGCGGTCGGGTTAGAACGGATAAAAGGAAGTCCTCCTTCACCCAAAGAGTGATTAACATATGGAATTCACTGCCACAGGAGGTGGTGGCATGGACGGCTTCAAGAGGGGATTGCATAAACATATGGAGCAGAGGTCCATCAGTGGCTATTAGCCATAAGGTATAGATAGTAACTCTCGGTCGGGGGGCAACAGTGGGAGGGCTTCTAGTGTCCTGGCCCCACTGGTGGTCCTCCTGATGGCAACTGGTATTTTTTCACCACTATGTGACAGAGTGTTGAACTGGATGGGCCGTTGGCCTGATCCAACATTGGCTTCTCTTATGTTGTTATGACCAAAGTTAACTCTATAACTACTGAAGTGTTTTAACTTGTTAAACTCAACGCAGACCAATTTTCGTGTTTAAATGGAATCACGTTGAAACAGCAGAATGGGTCCTTCAAACATCCCCTTGGCAAAGTGGGGCTGGCCGTGGGAGGACTCTAGGCAGCTTTTGGTTCTCTGGATGATAAGGAACGCCCTGGGGGCAGTGTTCCCTCTAAGCTGAGTTTGTGTGAGCTAGCTCACAGTTTTTAAGCCTCCGGCTCACAGATATTTGTCTTAGCTCAGGAAGGAGGGCTCCAGAGCAAAGTATTTATTCGGTAGCCAAATCGCTCGCTCACAACTTAAATGCCAGCAGCTCACAAAGTAGAATTTTTGCTCACAAGACTCCACCGCTTGCTTAGAGGGAACATTGCCTGGAGGTGTGGACTATTTGAAGCAGTCTAAACTGGACTTAGGGTAACCCAGATATTGGTGGAATGAGCTATTACTGTGATTAGAGACCCAAATCTGTTTGCACCTAGTCTCTGATGGGCCACTTTGGTCTTCTCCTTCCTCAGATCAACTTCCAACTTCCAACCGTCGAGATGGCGTGCCCCCTGGACCAAGCTATTGCCCTCCTGGTTGCTGTTTTCCACAAGTATTCTGGCAAAGAAGGTGACAAGAACACCCTGAACAAGAAGGAGTTGAAGGAACTCATCCAGAAGGAGTTGACCATTGGATCAGTGAGTGTCACGAGACATTACGGAGAACAATGCAAAAATGCCTGCTTTTGGATACGTCAGGGGTCCCCAGCCAGGGCTCTTTTTGTAGAAAAAACCCAGCAGGAACTCATTAGCCTAATAGGCCACACCCAACAGCATAAACTCATTAGCATATTAGGCCACACCCCTGACAGTACAGCTCATTAGCACATTAGGCCGCACCCCCATGTTACAAGAAGTGTGGTCATCCAGCCACACCCACCTTTTGCTTTTTATTCTGTTTACCTTGTTTGTTGTCAAAACCCAGGGCCTTTTTTTGTAGCAGGGACTCCTTTGCATGTTAGGCCACACACCCCTAATGTAGCCAATCCAAATGAGTTCCTGCTGTTGGGTGTGGCCTATTATGCTAATGAGTTCCTGCTGGGCGTGGCCAACTTGGGAGCCAGCCGGAACTCCGTTCCTGTGCGTTCCTGCCCAAACATAGCCCTGTCCCCAGCATTGTTCTTTGCGGTGCCAGGGCAGCTACCGACAACTTTTCTACTGCCCACCAAGTGTTTTTAGAAAGTGGGTGGGGATTTTGCCCAGCAGGGCATCTGACTGGCTATCGAATATTTGATTGGCTGTGCAGATTTTTTTTTTTTAAATATTGTTTTGGGAGTAGCTGCCACCACAGTACAAGGGCCTTTGTTATGCGACTTAAGGAAAGCTGCAGGAGCCATTCTGTGGCAGTCTCCGCCTCCTTTTGCTGCAGCCATTTTGTGGCTGCACCCACCGCCCTGTGTCACATATCCAAAGGTGCCTGCCGGCTCAAGAATGTTGGGGAACCTAGGTTACATGAAAAACAGTTGCCTGTCCCCTTTCCCCCAGCTTGATTTTTTTCAGAAAAAGAAAAGCAGCCTTGGAAAGCTGGAACCGAGAGTGTGAGAGTAGCTAAGGTGGGGAAGCTGCAACATATTTTTCCACCCATCCACTAGGGGGTGTGCTCACACACATGCAAAAATCCAGCATTTTCCGAATTCGGGTGTAATGGAGCCGAATCATATCAGTATTTTCTGACACGCCCAAATTCCAATATCGGTACGGTATTCGGATTCGGGATTTTTTGGGGGGAATCCTGAATTTTTTGCGGCTCCACTATAGCCTATGGGGACCATTGTGGTCAATGGTCCCCATAGGGTATAATGGGGAATCTGTATGGGGCCCCCGATTTTTTGAGGTAGAGGCCCCAAAGCTGCAGCATAGCTAGTGGTCTCCTCAGAGGAACCCCCAAGTTTCAAAAGGTTGGACCATGGGTCCAATTCTATGTGCCCCCAAAGAAGGTGCTTCCACTCCTCCATTGTTTCCAATGGAGGGGGGAAAGGCATTCAAAGGGCTTGCAGTCCCTTTAAATGCCTTCTGCAAGCTGCATGGTCACGCCAAAGGTGCTTCAAGGGCTTGTGTGAAAAGTAGCACTGTGGTAAGGATATTTTCCTTTCCAGTGACACACCACTGGTTCCAGCCCAAGGAACACAAACTTCAGAGCTTTTAAAATGAAAGAAATTACAAAAAAATAAAAAAAATTGAACATCTTTCTCTGAACCTTGTGATTTGCCATTTGTATTTTTCAAAGGTTGCTAATGGATTGTTTTTTTTGGGGGTGTTCCCATTTCCACCCTAGCACTTGAATGATGCCGAGATTAAAGGACTGATGGAGGATCTCGATCGCAACAAAGACCAGGAGGTGAACTTCCAGGAATACGTGACCTTCCTTGGTGCCATGGCAATGATTTACAATGAGGCGTTGAAGGGTTAATTGCAGACGAACCCCGCTAGATCAAGGCAGCATGGCCTCGATGAACCGGAAGTGCCTCTGTAAGCAGTTTTGTGTCTAATAAAGATTGATTTTTGTAATGTTGGGACGGAGTATGCGGCTTGTATTTTTGGGGGCACTCTGATTCCATGTATGGAGGTTCCACATAATTGTTCTGGCTAAAAGTCATTGGTAGGTCTATTAACCTTGAACTTGACAAACCCAG